GAATATTTCGTCACAATAAACATGATAATTGTGATGAAATTATTCATGATAATAAAAAAATTGTCACTAAAAGTTTAAAGTTTTAATTGTTGTAGACAAATGCGTCAGAACCAAATTTTTTGGATTGGATTAAAATATTTTATAGTTTGGCTAAAGATATTGATGAATTATATTTTTTTAAGTCGTTGAAATTTGTCTTTGAAATGCTAGATGAATATCATAATGCTATTCTATTTACTAAACTAGCTAGATATCTGATAAGGGGGGCCGCTTCGTGCGTCTATGCCAATAAATTGGAGAGGAAGCTCTATGAAGCAGCGGTAGAAGGAAGTGTCATTACTTTGCTTAATTTGCTTCAAGGGCCGCGATGTATTGCTTCTTGACGGATTTATCACTGACTGTTACCCTGAAACAAATTCGCATATATCTTCTATGCTTGGACTTGCAGAATTTGTCGAAGAAATTGTTATTCAAAAGCCTGAATTAACTAGCTAAAGGACTTACGAATATCGTCACCACTTTACTTATCAACTGCAAAAGGACACTTCAATATAGTGAAAAGATAGCTCCAGGCCAACCAAGGGCCAAGTGAATGTTTTGAGAGTTTTGGTTCAAGCTAGAACGAATGCAGCTGGAATGCAGATGGATGGTGAAGGGACCATTTTGCATGCATGCCTGTGATATAACCAGCTGTAGGCAACGAAGTTCTTTGGACCTATTGCCGATCATGAATTTGTGAATTTCAGGAATTTTTGTGAAATACTATCTGGCATCCAGCTGTGGCTGACAAACAAATTGAGGTACACTAGAAAATCAACTTAAGAAGCCATGACAATTAAAAAAGTTTAATTCAAACTTGATAACTTTAGATTTTCAAAGGTAATTACCTTAAAAAATCAGTTTGGCATGAAACTTGTTTAACCTATCTCCAGAGTCTTTATTTAGACACGGGGATGTGGAGGGGTGCTCCGCAACGACAAAGGTATGGTGGTCGCTATTTTTCAGGCGCATGCGGTATTCAAGAGCCATACATGGCAGAACTACTTGCGATCAAAACGGCACTGGAAGTCTTCTTCAAACAGACGGAATGGAAGCACAGAACTAAACTTATTACAGAGTCAGACTCAAAGGTTGCGATTGGTTGGGTGCTTAATGGGGTGGCACGTCCGTGGAGATTGTGGAATATTTTTTCGGTGATTGACTCCTTAAATTTAAAAATATTATAAAAAATAGTTTAACAAAAAGTCAGGTTCAATATTAAAAAAACAGGTTGATTGGACCATGATATTTTTGGTTTTTTTTTTTATTATTTTAACAATGAGATCGTTTTATATTTAATCGGTGTTAACAACATTAGCTGACAAGTAAAAAAATGGAAGGGGAAATGGTGATTGCAAATGGGTTAATTTTCAATGAAGATATCAAAAATTGATATAGAATGATTTTTAGAGGTTAAAAAAAATTTCTTGAAAAAGGCAGAAATCATTTGGATGGTGAAAAAATAATTAGGAGACGTTTGATTCGTAAAATTTTAAATTTCAAAAAAAAGTATGATATTTAAAAAAATTTGATATCTGAGTTTAGGTTGATTTTTAAGGTATCTCGTAATCAAATTTATTCATTTGGTTAGGAGAAATCATGGTTTATTAATTTCTATATAATTACCATAATTTATTTGATAAATTGTAGATAATTTTTTTTTAATTACAAAAAAAATTCAAACGATAAATGATATCTTTAGTAGCAAAAAAAATTAATTTTTTTTATTAAATATCCCTAATTATGATAGTTAACTAAACATTAAGCCGTGATTATTATATTAAAATATAAAAAAATCAATTATGACGTTTAAAAAAGCTAAACACTTAATTTGCTTTTGTAAATATATTAGAAAAAGTATCAAATAATGCATTTGTTCAAAAAAACATCTTATTTACTTTTATAAAGATTTTAAAAAATTATTTATCAAATAAGGCATTTGTAAGAAAAAACGTTTTAATTGATATTAAATAAGGCATTTATAAGAACAAAGCCTTAATTGATATCAAATAAGGTGTTTGTAGGAACAAAGCCTTATTTGATATCAAATAAGATGTTTGTAGGAATAAATGTATTAATTAATACCAATTAAGTCACTTGTAAGAATAAATACCCATAATTGATATCAAATAAAGTGCTTGTAAGAACAAACGTCTTAATTGATATCAAATAAAACGTTGTAGGAACAAAGCCTTAATTGATATCAAATAAGACTCTCGTAGGAACAAACCCCTTAATTGATATCAATCAATTAAGTTTTTTTTTTTACAAATTTTTAATTGTCATATATTAAAATTAAATTAAAAAATAAGACAAATTAAAAAAAAGTTAAAACTGAATTTCAATCTTACTTTTTAAAAAGATAATAGATATATAATAAATTTTTTATTTAAATCAAATTTAAAAATAAAATAATTTTTTCTCAAAATTCTAAAATATCACTGAATAAGGTGAGTTTATGATTGTAAGATTTTAGTTACTGTTAAAAATTTAATATTTTCTCACGTAATCGAATTATTTTAAATCAAACGTAAAAAATAAATATTCATTATCAAAAATTTTTAAAAAAAATTATAAATTTTTTTGAATCAAATACACTGTTACTGACAATAAAAAGAGATTATTTTCTTAAGAAGATGTGAGTTTTTAATAGTGAGATTTTAAATATTATTAAAATCATAATATTTTTTTATATAATTAAATTATTTTAAATCAAACGTAAAACATAAATATTTATTAGTAAAATTTTTAAAAAAAATTATGAATTTTTTTCAATCAAATACACTGTTAAAAGTTTTTACAACTGGTAATAAAAAGAGATTAAAAGATTCTAGAGATGTCAAAAAATCATTAGACTAGAACAACAAATTTTATAGGGAATGCAAAGCTCTCAATTTTTATTTTTTTTTTTCTAGTGGAATCATTGCTAAGTGCAAAATAAATGTTATTTTGGGATGATAATTTTGTTGATTGTTAGATGAATTAATGTTGTTTATGGATTTTTCTTTCTGGGAAGAAAAATAAAATATGTCTTGGCGTATGAGAGGAGCTGTTGACGGGTGAACCGTCAGGTGGTGACTGATAGTTTATTTGGAATTTTATTTTTGTCATTTTTTTGAGCTTTTATCCTGGGGACAGTAGATGATCAGGTTAGGGAACATGATTTTTGCACGAGACCTACATGATCTCCGTATTATCCAGTAGCTTTAACTCCTTAATAATTTTTTTATAGTTTTCGGTTTTCCACGATGATAAAGCATATAGAATGTTACATTTATTTTATTAAAATTATTTTATTAAGATAATTCTCAGTCAAATCAATTATTTTATGCTTAGCAGACCCCATCTTGATGTTTAAGATCCAACCCCAATTGTGACGATACTTGGAGCAAAAACCCGTCCAGGTAACTTTTACTGGCACTTTGTTCCCCGGGCCCTACCATTGTTGAAAACTACAAAAAAAAATTATCAATGACTTAAAGCCAGTGGAAAATGGGTCCCGCACGATCAATTCACCTGTCACCGTCATCCTGCAGAGATTTTTTTATATTAGTATAATTTTTATAATTTTTTAAAATTTTAAATATAACATTTAAATAATAAATTTTAAGTTCAATTTAAAAATTTAAAATACGCATAAATTATATTAATATAAATGAATTTTTACCTTATATGTATTATATATGAATGAGTTTTGGTTTAATAATCGACGTATGTACGATTTATTATAAAAATTATATATTTAATTTTAACCATTAAATTTTAATTTTTGATAATTTTATGTCAAAAAATTGAAAAAAAATTTCTTTATTAATAAAAATTAACGGAGTTTCCGAGTTAAGTCGATTAAAGGGAATAATGTATCTCCCTGAGAATTGTCAGAGTTTTGAGGTTAACATTTTCCTTTTCAACCTATGAGAGAATATATAGATAAGATCTATGATCGAATAAGATAAATTAATTAATTTTAAAAAATAGTTATTTAAGAGATTAATTAAATAGTTAAGATGGTTCTAAAAAATATTTTTTTAGGATATCACATAAAACATGCAGGTCATAAATATTTTGTCAAAAGTTTATACACTTATTAGTATCAAATTAATACTCATTAATTGTATTAATTAATAATGAAACTAAAAATTAGTGTTAATTTATTAAAATAAAAATTATTAAATATAAACATAATTATCGTGCTATTTTGATGTTGGATTTTCAAAATCAACTAGCTAGTAATGTCAGAAGTCAAAATTCCCTATGAAAAATTATATAAAATTGTAAATTCAATTATTTACCTTATTTTACTAAACATGTTTACAGTGCAGAGTTTCTTTTAACACGTTACTATTCGTGATTTTTTTTTTTCCGCGTCAAAATTCTATTCTAATTTTGTCAGCCACAAACTACACTCTAAAAGGTTGACAGGTCAACCGAAATCGATGAATTTTAATTCGATTTAATTTTATAAAGTTAATTTTTTTTAAATTAAATTTTAAATTGCATCGAAATGAGTATTATTAAAAAAATTTAAGATCAGATCAAATTTTAATTTTAAGTAAATTTGATCTAATTTAATATTATATAAAAAATTATTTTTTAATTTTTTAATTTTATATTTAAAAAAATAATATTTTATTAATTTCAAATTAAATTAAATATAATTTATATAATATCATATTTAAATTAGATTCGAATATAAAAAATAAAAAAAATTAATCAAATACAAATACAAATTTTATAATTACAAAATCAAATTTTACCGTGACTCACCGTAGTGAACGCTATCCAAAACTATCAACTTTCCTCAATTATTATTATTTAAAAAAAAAAAGACTTTCCTCAATTGTTGTTGACCTGAAGTCAACAATTATGGTCAACCCCTATTTTATATATACACACACTTGAGTAATTAGGAATATCTTATCTTTTTTTTCATGCATACCAAACGCAAATTAATTAGAAAAATGGAGAGGAAGCTCTATGATGCAGCTGTGCAAGGAAGTGTGATTTCCTTGCGCAATTTGCTTCAAGAGGATGCACTGCTTCTTGACAGATTTATCACTGGTCACTACTCCGAAACACCTTTGCACGTAGCTTCCATGCTTGGCCATTTAGAATTTGTTGATGAAGTTCTTGCTCGGAAGCCAGAGCTAGCCAAAGAACTTGATTCCCGACAGTCATCACCCCTACACTTAGCAACAGCAAAAGGATACTTGGATATTGTGAAAAGATTACTACAGGTCAACCCCGATATGTGCCTTGTTTGTAACTTTGATGGGAGGAACCCTCTTCATATTGCTGCCATCATGGGCAAACTTGATGTCTTGAGAGAGTTGGTCCACGCCAGACCCTGGGCAGCTCGGCTGCCGATGGACGAAGGCGAGACCATTTTACATGCGTGCGTGAGGTACAACCAGTTGGAGGCAATGAAGTTCTTGGTGGAAAGAGTTTCCGATCATGACTTTGTAAATTGTAGGAATTCTGATGGCAACACATTCTTGCATCTGGCAGTAGCTGCTAAGCAAATAGAGGTATGTACTCTCCCTTGTTAATTTCTCTCATTTTTAGCTTTAATTACTCTCTTTCTTGCGACCGTCGCTTTTGTTTGAAAAAGATAAAGAATTTAGGAGAGGCAACCTAGGCTTTTAAAAAGAAAAATCTGGGGTTAAGACTTGAGTTTTAAGTTGGTTCACAGCCCGCAAGATGAGCCCTCTGTATTTCCAAATTCCAAGTATCTTTAACATTTATTCTAGGCTCGCAGATTTTTTTCTCTTGGTTAAACAAAAGAAGTGAAATTTATTAGCAATTTTTTTAATTTACGGTCTTGCATGGCCGATGTGTCCCAACTTAAGGTGTAAACGAATCAGTTTGACTAGGAAAAGAATTCAAGCTCCAGTTACTCCGGTAGCAAATTGAGTTAGAATTTGAATAATTTAATACTTGATTCAAGAAATTTATGAGTTTTATCAAATTTAATGTAACTTTTATCTGTTTATATGTTTAATATACAAGTAAATAATAAAAATATAATATTTAATGTGAATATTTATAATTTTATCGAGTCTACTAAGTTGAGTCCAAACGACTCAATTAAATTACAAGTCAAGTTTAAAAATAAAAAATAAAACTTGAGTCTAGTTTTGAGCTTCAGAGTTTTGAGTCAAACAAATTTGAGTTTGCTATCTATTAGGTTCAGCTTGATTACACCTTAGAACCGACGATTCAAAACTTCCGGTTAACTCAAATTGAGGTAGTTTGTCAGTTTAAGTTAGCTAAGTTCCATTAGAGGCTCGCACTCTTTGCCCTTTAGGCCTTTTTGCTTTTTTACTTTGAATTTCCAAAGCTTTATATTGTGCAATTGATATAAACATTCATGCAGGCCATAAACTTTTTGATTTCTAGCACTACAGTAGACGTGAATTGTGAGAATGCAGATGGTTTCACGGCACTAGATCTTTTATCACAAAACCAGAGGGATGTGATAGATAAGGAGATTGTTGAGTCCCTTGGAAGAATGGGAGCTTTACGTGCAAAAAAAAAGCCTTTGTCAAACCGTCAACTTAAATCTGCAAGGACCAAGATCTTAACGTCACGATCTACATCAAATACCGTATCAAAACCTATGAAAAGTAAAGATCACAAGAGGGTTGTTAATAGGAATACTGATTGGCTTGAAAGAAAACGCAATAGCTTAATGGTGGTGGCTTCCCTGCTAGCTACTATGGCTTTCCAAGCGGGCGTCAATCCTCCTAGTGGCGTTTGGCAGGATGATTCAAAACAACACTATGCAGGGTATTCCATATGGGCAGATAGTTATCCAATTTCATATGAAATATTCCTCATTTCTAACACAACGGGTTTCTTGGCATCTCTTAGCATCATCCTGTTGCTTATTAGTGGATTGCCATTAAGGCATAGGTTCTTCATGTGGGTTTTAATGGTCATTATGTGGGTTGCCATTTCTGCAATGGCATATACATATCTGGTATCTGTATCAGCTATCTCTCGTACAGAAGACGACCCTGTGCAATTGAAGGTGATATCAAGTGCAGTTTACGTTTGGTTAGGCTTGATGCTTCTGCTTCTTCTTGGACACACAATTCGACTGATAATCAGACTGATAAAGTATCTTCGAAAATTAGTGATCAGTTTGATAAACGTTATCTCCACGCGCGGTCCCGGAGCTTAATGTGCGCAATCTTGTGGATTTAAAGAAGCCTTGTTACTCTCTCATTCCACAAACCGAGTAAGATATGAGAAATTCTTCAGGTAGCTTTTGTTATAAAGGCAGGGCATATGAAGCCAAAATCCGTGATGTTTTTTATCGGTAGGTAAATTACATGTATGACGGTCTAGATGTATCCTCCTCAGAAATAAATTCTTCTTTTAAGACAATTCATCACAGCCCTCTTTTTTTAATCCATCAAATTTTCTTTCTTTTCCATTAAAAAAATCAATGGAAGGAATTGGTTTTTCTTATAAATTTTTCATCCATTCCTCCGGGTATTTTTTTTTTCAAACCGAGGTACAGACTTCAAAATTGCCAAAATATGTATCTGATGCCAAGATTTCTGAGCTTGAATCGTTACAGGCATTTTCTGAAACATAGCTGACAGCTTTGCTAAACATGTGAAAATTTGATGGTCAAATTGTCCATGAATAGCGTCATCAATATCATTTATCATTTATTATATATAAAAATATGAATTCGAAAAGTGTTAATAGTAATCTATCTAAATATTATTATAAATTTTGAAATTAATAAATTTATTCTTAAATATATAATTTTTATTAATTTATTTAAATTTAATTTAAATCAACTAAAATTAAAAATAGAGTTTATTTGAAATTAAACTACTTAAAATTTTAATTCCAAAAGTGTTAAAAGTTATTAATTAAAACATCTTTAGTAAATGTTTTTATAAATTTAATTTAAATGCATTTTTTTATTATTAGACTCTTTTTTTAATTAGACCAAAAAATGCTAATAATTATTGACTAAAATACCCTTAAAAATTTTTAATTTAAAAAATGTTAAAAATGATTGAATAAAATACCATTAGTAATTTTTTATAAATTTTAATTTAAATGACTTTTTTATTATTAAACTTTTTTTTATAAGTAGAATAATTTTTCATATCAAATTAAAATACAAATAAAACAATATTAAAGTTTATTGTGCATAGGAATAAAATAATTATATTGATTTTGTTTGGTCAAAACGTGCCATAGATCCATATACTTTTCGATTTCTAAAAATTTAGTTCCTTTAGTATTATTTAAAAAAATTTAATCCAAGTAGTATTATTTTGTAAAAATTTCAGTTTCAATCGTTAACAATGCACATGAACTAAATTCATTTAAATAAATACTATAGGGACTAAATTCTTAAAAATCGAAGAGTATAATGACCTATCACATATTTTTACCATTTTGTTTATTTAGTTGTTATAAAAACAATTATATATGTAGTTTATATTGATAACAAAAGTCATTAAAAACAATCATAATTAAGTCATTAAAGTATTTTTTTCTATTTCTTGTCTTACAATTTTTTTTTGTTTTAATATATTCACTATTTATATATATTAGTGATTTTATTATTTATATGTTTTATGAGTTGATCACTGATGATATAATTAAATCTTTTTAGTCACTTGAAATAATTATTTAATATATCATTTTTACAGTTTAATCTGACTTCTATAATTAATTTTTCTTTTATATTTTTTCCTCTAAAATTTTATAATTGTTATTCTTATGAACAAAAACTAATATCAAATCAAATACAAATCAATTACATCCCTTCTATCAACAATTAGTACTGTATAATTCCATTTTTAAAATTAGATGATTCACAAGGTGGTGGAACTATCAGTAGCTCAAGATTGGGTCCTATCAAATTATCGTAAAAATTATTCACCTTGATTGAAATAATAATTGATTTAATTTTCTTTTAACTTTTATCTTAATATAAATATATATGATTAATTTATATCTCATAATTATTTAATCTTTCTTAATTGTATTAAATTGCTTTCTTTCTTTGTCATTCAAGAGATTGAACGACCTAACGTGAATTATTCTAAGTAAAAAATTATCAAGTAAAGTAAAATAATTATTTTTGTTAAATTCTTTCAAGGTGTAATAAAATTTATTAAAACTATCTTTTGAATGTATTTATGTCAAAATTACATTCATTCATGAAAATTTATATTGTTAATACTGAAAATAAAATCATTATAAATTGTGTAGGTATTACATAATAAGTTTGTTATTCTTAGAATTTGAATTTTTTTAAGAAAACATGACAAGTACTAAGGTTAGGATTTTATTTTATTTTGTCTTATTTTTTAAAATTATATATGTTAATATTTTATATAATAAAAATTTATGAAAAATAAAATTTTTTAAATAAAAGAAATTTTAAGTTTTCAATTGATTTAACTAATAATTACATTCAATTGATGAAAGTATCAATGGAAGATTATTCATTTAACTTATAATTACATTCAATTGAAGAAAGTACAATGGAAGATTATTCTAAGCAAAAAAATGAAATAAAAGATTGATTGATTATGCATAATTTAATCTTCTCTATATGGCCAAAAATATTAGTGTTATATGATATTTCAATGAAAATTACACAAATTTTTTTATTTCAAATTTCTTGAAAATTAATATGAAACTCTTTTATTTGGAGAAATATTGCATACTTGTTCAATTTCTCCTTTATGCCAATTGAAGAATATTCACTATTATATCAAAGCTTTTAAAATTGCCATTTTAAGTAATATTTGTTCAAAAGAATTGAAATTCATCAAATTAATTATCACTTTACATCTAAAATAAAAATATTATTATAAATTATAATTTGACTAAACTTAAAAGTGCTTTAAAGATATTCATTTGCAAAATTTATTTGATAAATATTTATTTAATTATGTGTTTAGTGTTTTAATCATTTTAAATTTTGACTTTTTATAATTTTGAGTTTAATTTTAAACTTAAGATGAACAACCAATTAGGTTGAGTCAAGTTTTTTTCATCTACTTCTGTTCATAGTATATTCAATTATTCACTTTTATACGTGAGCAAATTTAACTCAATAATTGGTATATATTTCTTTTTGTTTAAAAAACTAGATTTAAATCATCCTAAATTCAAATAAAAAAGAAATATACTCAATTATTTATAGTTGCAATTTCATTTTAGAAATATTTTTAAAATTAATTAACTAATTCAACTACAAAGACAATAAAAATGAAACATTGAAGATGAAGGAAAAAAACTTAAATAAGGAACTTTCAAATTGTTACGTAGAATAACTAATATTGGGTTTTGATTGGGTTACTATTAAAATTCTAATTTTTTTTATGTTCAATTATTTTGGGTATTAAATAACTACTAAGTTGTTGCTTTTTAAAATTAATTGAAATTGAGAATAGCTAGTTTATTTTTATAATTATGGGTATTATATTATTATATTATTTTTAAGTAAAATAAAATTTAAAATGAGTAAAAATTTTATTTATACTCAAATTAAATTTTGAATTATTTCAAGTTTGAGTGATTAATTCATGTTATTTTAGCTATACTTTTATAACATTGATAACAAATTTCAAAATAGACTGAGAAAATAACATAACGAAAGTTTAAGTGCAAAAGTAATGGAGATAATAGTGATAATTTAATAAGAAAATCATTATATCCAACTCTTGCAAAAATTAAAAGATATATCTTCTTTTGAAGATTTTGAAATTTATATTATAGAAATGTTAATCCAAATCAATGAGTTTATAGTCGTTCGTTTATTAATTAAGTTGCTGCTATATAGAATAATGAAAACAATTCAAATATTTCATTTGAAAGAGATATCATAATTTATACTTATTCAAAAAAACAACACAAAATTAAATATTATTTGAATTGTTATAATCCCTTACAATATTCTTTACTCTTTTCAAATAGAAAAGTTAATTGGCATCAAAATATCAAAAAAGTAATCTTAAATTATAGTAATAAGAATGAAGCAACCATTAAAAATATACCATTTTTTTTGTTTAATAGAAGAAATTTTTATGGAGAATGCGAAATTAATTGTTGTGAATTTAATATTTTAAAAATTGTTGTCTGTTTAATTTTCATTAATAAGTTTGTTCTCATTACTTTTATTATATATATAACAAAATTTTTATCCAAAATTATATCATTAAAACTAAAAACATAAGACAAAGTTTATTACTTTCATTGGTGATAGAACATTTGAAAATTTTCAATTTTTTATATGAAATTGTACTTCGTTAACATGTATGAAAATACATACACTAATATTTCAATCAAATTATCAATAAAGTTTATCTTAATATGTACTATTTATGATGAACTAAAAGATTTAAAGAATATCTTAAAACTATTAAGTTAATATATATTGTATATATTTATTTAATTTAGTTTCAGTGACACATCTTGACATTTAATTTTGAAAGGCCAACTAATACTATATATATTTTTTTTCATAAGGCTTCTAATATCATATATTATATACATATGAATATATATATTCATACACAATATATTGATAATAAGAAGTAGCAAGCTCATAAAATTATCAAATAAAAATATTACTATGACCAAATTAAATTTGAAAGAGTACCAATACTTTCAAATTAATAGTAAAATATCTAATTACACAAATTTTTAATGAATTATGAAAATTTTTTATTTTAATCATTTAAAATTAAAAAAATACAAATAAATCATTTGTTAAACAAATTTTTTTACCGAAATAAGAAAAATAAATATGCTTTTTATAAGAATGAAGTTGAAAACTTGAGATTCAAAGTTATGATAAAAATCTTCTATAAAATTTTTCAAAAAATATATTGTAGGATAACATGAAATAAAGATCTAAAGTAATATTAAAAGTAAAAAAAAAAAATTATATAGAGAGGAGAAATTATAGTAAATGATAACGAAAAGGGAAAAAAAACATTATATAATTTTTGTCCCTCTTAAATTATAATGCATAAAATTAAATTATGAAACTAAGAAAAAAAATATAATAAATATAGAATAGCAACATGATTTACATCCTTCTTAAATTTCAATGCAAAATTAGATTATGAAATAAAAAATAAATTAACAAATTAATAATTCTAATTTAAAAAAGGCCAATTTATAGATATATATATATATATATATACGTTTTCAAAACTTTAGGGGGTCAAGCCCCTTAAGTTTAAATGACGGTCTGTTTAGTTTCAATACTTATATTAGTTTAGT